CCACGCTTGAATTCATTGATCTAATGGTAGTCATCGAAGGTGCATGGTCCTTATAAACGGTATGCAACTTCACTTTGATTTTTTTATACGTCTTCCCAAAAAAAGGAATCAAATCACTGACCGATATTGCTCTTTTTTCATGGTTGCAAACAAACTTGTCCACTTTCAAAACAAAAAACTTGTCCAGTTATCAAAACAAAACTACTCGATAAATCTGTCTGAAATTTTGACTGGCGTCGTTCGGAAGATGATGTTAAACGATGATATACAGACTTTGAGTCAGTGACGCCATCAGTCGTTAAATACGGATACTTATCATACAGTCCTCGTATGTTACGAATATGTATCCACAAGCACAAACCGATCGGCTTATTAGTTTGTCAAAAATTGTGAAAGCCAATTGCAAAAACATCTTTTCGAGAAAAACATGTTTAAAATTTTATGTGCATAATAAAGATAAAGATAAATTTCAAGTACTTATGCGAATTTTATCCTAATCAGCGATTTTATATAGTATCCCATCTTGGATCTAACGAAATTTATTTTAGCTTTTCTTTTATTTATGACAACAATTCAAGCCTCCTGGAAATTGTCGTTAGTTAACAATCGACAAACTCGAGACATGTCTGCTCAAAATATCTACAAAGCTCGTTCCATATTGTATCATGTTCGTCGAATGATCAATTTTTTTTTGTTATCTATATCGAAAATTTATATGGTAATTTACAAAATGGTAATGATTTCTGCATTCAGTTTAACGAATTCTACATGTGCATGATCGATTAGACACTTAAATCCAAATATTTTGTAGAATTACGTATATAAATACTTAGAATACATTAGAAATAGAATTTTACATTTTACTCTAATCTATAAATACGATAACAAATATTGCTATTATAGATCTCATATATCGTATCGTTATAGATCTCATGTATCGTATGCGATCATTCATCAATCCTCTTTAATATCCTAAAATTTTATGCAGAATGATTTCTGCATTCAGTTTAACGAATTCTACATGTGCATGATCGATTAGACACTTAAATCCAAATATTTTGTAGAATTACGTATATAAATACTTAGAATACATTAGAAATAGAATTTTACATTTTACTCTAATCTATAAATACGATAACAAATATTGCTATTATAGATCTCATATATCGTATCGTTATAGATCTCATGTATCGTATGCGATCATTCATCAATCCTCTTTAATATCCTAAAATTTTACATACTAATCTATGAAATGGTAAATAACTTTTTTTCTTAAGGGGGGAAAACATTATAGAACGTCAAAAATAAGGAAATTTTCATGAATTTTTTTTAAAGAATATACTTATCCAATCGCTTCTCAACTTTGTAGTATTTTTGCTTGTACATTAAAATATTAAAAAAATGTTTTAAAGTTCAGAAAAATGTTTATAAATTGTATGTAATGAAAGAAATGTTGAGCGTTGCGGCAGAGTCGGCGCAAAACTGTGTGCACTCTAGCTCCTGTTGTATTCGTCTGAAACCAAAATAGGGAAAAATGTTTTATTCTTTATGGACATAATTTGTCGATGAAACTAAACAAGTTAAAAAAAAGTTTTGTAATTGATAAAAAAGCAACCCTTGAATCAAAAGTTCGATTTTTACTCATAAAAATACATCTTTATGTATACGAAAAAATTGTTTAGATAAATAATGTTATGGATTTCATAGGTTCATTGACTAGCAAATATAATAAACTAAATGTATGTAAAAGGGTAACTCGATTGGTCAAATAGTTTTTGAATTATCTCGCACACCAGTTTGGAAGAAGTCGAAAAATGCATTTAAAGTTTCAAGTATCGAAAATTGTAAACTTACAGCTGTTTTCTGCTAATCCGCTATTCTTGCTATCCTATACAGTAAATTTTCCGTTTCTTCAAAGTCATTTTGTTCAAGTTGGTGTTATTTACTTACTATTCAAGCCTCTTTACTGCAACTTAAGGTGCGGCGTTGCTGTCTCTTTATTCCCTCGGTGTCCTTATTATCAGCATATAACTTACATAGAGACCTAATTTTAATTTTTAATATTTCCATTATCTTCAAAACAGCAAAGTAATCTTTATTAAATATTCGCGGCAATATAGACAATATAGACTGTGATTTCGATAATTTTAAGGCCAGAATGTACATGCTTTGAAGCTAACCGCTAAATCGTGCTATTAAAACTTTTATTCGTATTTTTTGTGTGCTTACCTAAGCACCTTTCTAATAGATTTTTCTTAGAATGGTTTTTACTGTTTTTTCAAACGGGTTTTTCCAAACAAACCGTTGCGAGTCACTGCGCGCTCAGATCTTACCTCGCGCTCGTACCTGCGTGCGAGAAATGGTCCTGTACGACTATTTAGATTTTGAATTTTAAAACAAAACTTTGGAAATATATTCTATACATATAGTACTATTAATTAAAGCAAAAAAATTCGATTTTTGTGGTCCTCTATAGTGCTTTCCCCCCTTAATTTAATCCAATTTATAAACACACAATGGATATCGTATTTAACGAATATTGTATGTATAGAATTTCGTTTTTTCTTACAACAATTTATTTTAATCGTCATTCCATGTACAAAAATATTAAGATAATGGTATTGAGAAAAGTGAATACTTTATAAAATAAAGTTTATAAGTAAATACATTATATTTTATATTTTCTACTAAAAGGTTTTATAATAACATGTGAAATATCTCGGGAAAAAAATATTCATTTTCCGATGATTTTACCTCAGTATTTTTATATGCAGAATAAAATCGATTTATGTTAAAAAAATTTAAAAAATTTTATAATTATATAAATTAATAAATTATATAATTCTATTTAAAAGAAAAAAGTCAAAAGACTTTTTGACAGAATTTTATGAAGTTATTTTAAAGTCAAATAAATATTCCGTCATTTTACTTTTTCGAAATCCTACAACTTTTATTTAAGACATTTTTGGCTAAAACGTTTAGTTTCCGAGATATTAAAATACAAAAATTAAAGTGGAACATCCTATATAACGAAAATTAAGTTGTCACCGACAACCTTACAATAACATGTTAATTGTTCAGAATATTTCAAAGGAAGCCAAAATATTTCAAATAAATACAATTTTGAATAATTTATTTTAAAATAGTTGAAAGAGAATAAAAAATACATGATGATGTAGTAAAAATAGATCAGTTAGAAGTCGAATAAATTAGTGTAGTGAGAAGACGGTATGCACAGAAAAATCTCGCCTCAATTCTGACAAAGACCATGTATTTTCAAAACAGCTGATATAAATTGTGCGGGACGGACTCCTCGTCCTTCCGTCGTTGCTCGAATTATATTTCGATCCCCTCTCTTGTCCATGTGTTTATCAAGTAGTCGAACAGTTGTCTCTTCTAATTTCCATCACAGCTTGGCTATCCTGACAATTAATCGATCCGATTAATTTATTCGATCTAAACTTATCTTGACTTATAACACGTTGCATATACCGGGATATTCGCTTTCACGCATCTATAAGTTTAGCATTACATTGAAACATAATTTGTCGTAAAGATTTGCCGTGAAAGCATTATTTATTCCCTGGTGTTCCCTGTGAGAGTTTAACCCGGTACGCAAATTTGACGTTTCCCAGGTACCACGATATGGGAGTCGTGAAGTTTGAAAGTTTTCTAGATCCGCTATGACATAATCGTTTCTCAAACATTTAACAATTTGGTACGATCCTTTAAATTTTGATATTAACTTAGATAATATATCGGGAGTGCTATCGAAGTTTCGAATCATCACCTTATCGCCTACTTCGTATCTTGCCGGCGATTTGTGTTTACGATCGTAATATTACTTGTTTGTCTCCTGAGTTTTTTCTACACGCTGACTCGCTCACGCATCTGAGTCATATTCTCAAGACGAATTCGCGAAGTGTTTGATTCCAACGCCTCTCGGAGACTGTCTATTACGGAACCTTGTTGCGTCATCTCAAGTAACAACACACTCAGGCAATTTTTAGTTGTTCGACTCACTGTGTTATTATAAGCATATTCGACATCTAATAATACTTCGTATCACGGCACTGCTCGCTCGTCCGCTAATTTTGCTATCATAGGTACAATAAATTGATTGACCCTCTCTACCTTGCCGTTTGCTGAGGAGAGGCGGTCGCTACTTTAACATGTTGGATATTTAATTCACACAAGAAATCGGCAACTGTTGAGAAGTAAAACAAGTTCTTCTGTCGGAAACAATACGCAACGGTCGACTGTAGGCGCGGAAATACTTTCGTAAATGTTTAATTACTTCGTCCGCGTTCGTTGTCTTAGTCGCATAAAGTTTTAAAAATTTCGTAAAGCTATCGACTACCAGAACTACGTAACGTTTTCCCGCCGCAGATGCCCCGAACAAAGAGCCCAAATGATTAATGTGCAAGTCCGAAAAGAGAACGCTACCCTTTGGCAAATTATGCAAAACTCCCGCAGCCTTACCGGAATCAGGTGAAAAAGCAACACACTTCAAACACTGTTTCACATGGCGATCTATTTTTTCCTTTAAGTGCGGAAACTAATTGTTCCTTGATATATTCTCCAAAGTCTTACCCACGCCATTACATGACCCATCTCATTGTGATACTTGTACATGACATTTCTTTCTAAGCTAGCAGGTACATAAAACAATATTTGATCGCCTTTTTTTCTATAAACGAGTCCGCCTCGCATCTCAAAGGAAGTTCATTGTTTTCCAATTTTTTTCTGAGACTCTTAATTACCGGATGATCGTCCTGACTCAGCGCGAGATTTCGCTCAAACGTGTTATAGGTCACCACCAAAACATACACTCCCCGACTTAACATTAGAAGGACTAAAGTAGCCAATTTGGCTCCTCGCAAAATTCAAACAGCTATAACTTTTTTCAATTTTTCTTCCATGTGATAATCTCTTGTGACTTTTCATCGTAATCTTAATTTTGGTAAATAAAAAACTTAATTACACAAGATGGTGTGTTGAATTTTTATTTAATCGTCTACCTAGAAGGATCGTTGGAGCCAATTTGGCTTCCTTATTTCTGATATTGCATTCACATATGTTTTACGATTTTATTAACAAGTTTTATGACTTTAAATAGATATATAAATATTTTTATACATATTCTTGCGCTTGCGATCGGGCACGAAGGAAATGAACACACAATTATAAAAGAACGAGAAGCTTTACTATGTACAGTCTTTACAGACTCAGTATCAATACAATCAAAACACGTCCGCTTGCGACTACGACTCGCTGTCCACTCTTCCAGCTGTTGTTTACTTTCCGTCAGCTGTTGTTACTGCTGATTGTCAACCATGCCCCCTCGCTTGTCTCCCTATACCGGGATCATCGAAATCGATGTATCTTCGCTAAAGCGGGCACGTGGGCACAACAATATGTATCTAAAGTCATAAAACTTAATAAAATCATAAAACATATGTGAATACAATATCAGAAATAAGGGAGCCAAATTGTCTCCAACGGTCTTTCTAGGTAGACAATTAAATAAAAATTCAACACACCATCTTGTGTAATTACCCAGACAGCACAGACATCCAAAAGACGTCCTAAAAACATCATAAAAACGTCGTTACGTCCTAAGTACGTCCAAAGTACATCCTTTGGATGTACATGTGCTGTTTAGGTAAATTTTTTATTTACCAAAATTAAAATTATGATGAAAAGTCACAAGAGATTATCACATAGAAGAGAAATTGAAAAAAGTTATAGCTGTTTGAATTTTACAAGGAAGCAAATTAGTTACCTTGGTCCTTCTAGTGTTAACGCATCCACGTGTAACATCCTGTATGATGTTGTATCTCGTAATCGTACAGTTGTAATTCTAACATCCAACAAGCTATCCTTGGGCTCATTTCTTTTTTATTTAATGTACATGTCAGTAATTCAAGTAGACAATCAGTCACTATGATAAAATGAATTTCCTGCAAGTATACGCGGAAACGACGTAGCATAAATAATCGCCAAGGTCTCTAACTCGAAACTGTGATACTTTGTCTCGGCCCGGGTGATACGTTCGGAGAAATCAAATATCGGGTGCAACTTACGATCCGCCTTTCTTTGAAGCAAAATGGCCTTATAGCCGCCCGCGTCTCGCCGCAGATTCCGCCGGTGGCCTAGGAGAGGCTCGTAAAAGCTCCATTTCTCTGTGTAACAGTTCTGCGTCTCGCTCAGCCATCTCCTTCTCTCTACGAAGCAGACTCATCTCCCGGCACTCATCGCCAACTCCGACTCCGCTGCATCACCACTGTCGCGAGGCTGCTCGTGGGACTCCTCCCTAACCAGATTCAACTCTCTCACCGAAATACCTGCCTCCAATAATTGGTTAACCAGCTCCAGTTTATTACCTGTCGTCGCGAAGTTAAATTCACGTAGCTTCTTCTCCTTAAGGTCTGATATCGTAAGCGTACTTATCTCTTCCTCTCTCTTCGCAAAGGTCACTGTCTCTGTTCGTACTAAACACGACACAACACAACAACACGCAATATTCTAACCAACGAAATTTCGAAGCCCGTCCAATCCGATTTCTCACCAATCAAACCGCTGCTCACTGGATGGATCCCACTTCTAAATTGTAGTGAGAAGATGGTATGCACAGAAAAATCTAGCTTCAATTTTGACAAAAACCGTATATTTTCGAAACAGCTGATACAAATTGTGCGTCTAGGACGGACTCCCCGTCCTTACGTCGCTCAAGTTATATTTCGATCCTCTCTTTTGCCTATGTGTTTATCAAGTAGTCGAACAGTTATTGTCTCTTTTAATTTCCATAATATTAGTGTCACACATGTTTACGGTTACGATATAATTAATTATTTATTACGGAAGAATATTTTTTTGCAATATGGAATATGGAAACATCATGTTCAATTTTCTGATGGATGAAAACTTTAGGATTAAGAGATGTAGTAACGTATCGCGACAAGTGAATGCGCAAAGCGAGGTATCGGCACGACGTCTCTAGTTGAAGGACAAAATTATCGTACTGCCATAACGGTTGATCAGATTAAATTGAGTGGACTTAATCGATTTTTTAGGATCCATTTATATGAAACAACTACATTTTTATCTTAAATATTTTATTATTTAAATTCATTAAGATATTGTAATGCAAAGAGCCCGAAGTGTTGCTAAGATTTCCTTTCAGAAACGTTATTGTTGACCAATTTTAGTTTCAACGTTTCTTTGCGCCTAACTTCACAAAGCAATATCATAAGCTATTATAAGTTGTGAGAGCTGCATACAAGAAGGATAGCCCTCGAGCGCACGGCGACTACAGAGAAAAACATTGTTACTGTATCAAATGGTACAGCTGTCAGTCTCTTAAGGTCAAAGATTGCTATCCTTTAAGACCTACTGTCCATGTATGCCCATCCCCACCGTTGCTCCTCCTCATCCGGTATGCAGCTCCTTCACTATAGAAGGAGGAGGGCATACTAGGTGGAACGTCGTACGTTCGGCATCTGCGTATCTTTTCGTTCCAAAGAGAGAAAAATATTGAGAGCGCAGTTTACTAGGCCGGGACTCGAACCCGGTTCTTTCGCTTGCCGGGCGACTGCTCTAAACTACTGAGCTACCTGATGTTCCACGCTCACGATATTCTCCTCTCCCTAGATAACGCTCAGAAATAAAAAAATCCAGAAATCTAATATCTTGTAAATGCTCTTAGAAAAAATGTTTCAAAATTATTAAAAGTAAAGCCTATAAAAGAACCAACGCGAGATAGAGTGCGGGAATTATTTTTGTATTCTACTAACATGTAAACATCAAATACATACAAACCAATGCCAACCAATGCGTTAATGCCTGTACTTACAAGGGACACTATCCAAGTGTGATATGTTATTTTTTTTAAACTCAGCACCTACATATGCACATGATATGACATTTCATGTGATATTTTAAACGACCCGTTTCTTAATTTGCACAATTGTTTAGACTTGTTTAGACTTTGATTGTTTAAACAAAACTCGAATGTACGTGACGATGTACGTAAAAACTGATATCTATAAGTCCATAACATATAAACCTAAAAACTATAAGCTAAACTAAATTCATACATTCAAAGTCCTTAAATCAAAAACCCATAAACCCGTAAACCTGAAATCTATAAATGTATTGTGTAATATTTTATTCATAACATTTTGACGAAATTGTTATTATTTGCGATATGTTTATTTAAATGATAGAAAAGGCAGATTATTATTACATACGTTGTTGTATGTATAGATCTTCCGTATCAATATTTGGAAAAAGGGTGACATGTGCATGCACCTGTACTATTGTATGTTGTATCGTACCTGAGCGCGCGTACTTTAGCCAATTGGTCAACTTTAATCATTTATAATTTGAAAAGTATTATAGTCTCGATTTTTTGCATTAGGATTTTTTTCTTCAAATTACCTCAAGAATCTGTCCTTAAGAGATAATGCGGTAGTGGCAGAACACCCTGTGTATATCTGACACCATTAGACTTTTTTTTATGGGGATATATGAAAGAGGAAGTTATGTTTGAGCCGTCGACGACGGAAAAAAATATGAAGTAATGGATACGCGACGCTTGCGTTTCAGTAACTCCTGAAATATCGTCAAATGTTAGGAATAATTTCTTACTTCGGACAAATAAATATTGACAAGTCCATCGATTTTGAACATTTAATAAATTGAATAAATCAGAAATTAGAATGTTGCAATTTTAATTTCGTAAATACTTCATGTAGCGTAAGTCGAAACTGCAAACCGTCATATTTTTTTAATAAAAGCATCTGACAAGAGAATGTTTCGGCTAAAACTAACAAGGAGAAACCACGAAGTATGGATCACCGATTTTGATGGGCTTTGGTATCGATTTTCTTCATTGAAAATAAATAGACACGTATCTTACCGTTTGTCTATAGATACCCACCCGTTTTAAAAAAAATTGAGGTTAAATGTCATGGCGTCGAATGCGTTTCGGACTAGAGGATATCTATAGAGCTTTACAAACGAATATTAATTTTCACTAATTAACTTATTTTTCTACACAACGAATAATAATATATTCATATTATGAAAATATTTAAAAAAAGTCACGAATATTCATGTTACACCACATGCACATATAATCCTTAATAACTCGAAAAATATAGTTTATGACCGCCAAATATATTAGTGAAAATGAATTGGTTTTTGAAGATCTATAGATACCTCCTGGTACAAGAGGGATCCGACGTCATAACCTTTAACTAGGGTTGGATAAGTTAACTTTTTTTTTTAACTAAATTAAATTAAAGTTAATGGCTTTGAAAATTTAACTTAGTTAAGATAAAATTAACCCATAATGAAATTAATTGAATTAAAAGTTAAGTTAATAAAAAAAATAATTAAAAAGTTAAAAGTTAAATTTATTTTATTTCATGACTTCAAGGTTTCAGTTTTACAAATAACGAAAAAAACAAATATACATCTTATTTGGAAACATGTTTTATTTACAGATTCTTATTAAATTTAAGTAATAACCCAGTAAGCAAGGAACATTAAATTAACGTTTAGAAACGTTGACTTCATGTGCATTGTTTGGACATTTTTTAATAATATTGCATTTAAATTTTTCATGTTATGCATGTTATTGCATGTTATTTTGTGATATGATTTTTCTGAATATTGTTTAAATGTTTCAAAAACATTACAAAAAAATATATTTTTCAAATGTTACTTTAATATTTATTTGAGATCAATGCAACTTCTTAAAAATATTTCTGACGATTAAAACGTTATGGCAACCTTATTTCAACATTATTGAAATTTCCAAATCGCGGTCAAAGTATATTCATAATGATGTTCAACACAATATTAAACTCTACATATTTGACAATATTATAGGTTCTTGAATATCATTGTAATAACGTTGTATTAATGATTTCTTGCTTACTGGGAAAGTTTTTTCGAAATTTTTATTGGACATTTTTCCTCGAAGATTGTCGAAAATAAGCCCTCTTGCACTGAACAGCCTTTCGATGTCTCGCGACACCTTTATGGCACGGTTAACTTCAAGATAATTGAATTAAAAGTCAATAGTTACCGATAAAATGTAATTAAGTTAAAAATTAAGAGTGTAAAAATGTACCTAAGTTAAGTTAAAGCTATTTAACTTTTTACTTAACTTTTAACGTTTTGACTAGTTACTACCCAATCCTGCCTTTAACCTCAAATTTTTCGAAACGGGAGGTATCTAGACAAACGGCGAGATATGTGTCTATTTATTTTCAATGAAGGTCTGTGCTAAAGCCCATCAAAATCGGTAACTCACACTTCGTGGCCTCCTCTTATAAGTTGTTTTTATCCAAAGAATCCAAAAATATAATTTTTCATAGGCAGTTCTATTTAAAATTGTTAAGTTAACCTTTATTCCATCCACGCAACAGAAGTTGGGGGACAACCTCCATTCCAGTTTAAAGGCCTTTCAGATCCATACAAGATTAATTCAAGACTTAAGTTATTAAAATCGATGAAATAGTTTTCAAGATATCGAGTTGTTAAGAATATTATGTGGGCTATTCTGTGTGTGTGTGTGCGTGCGTGTGGTGTGTGTAAACACATGCATACATACACACAAGGTGTTTATAAAGTCAACTATCACTCTCATTATTTCGGAAACGGTTTAAAATTCTGAAAAATCGCGAAACACGTGTTCAATCATTTCAGAGGGCTACTTTTTTTAGAGGAAGGGGCTCGCCTCCCCTCCAAGGGGATACAAGGAGGATACCCAATTTTAACATTTTTAATAAAACCCCCTATTTTTTATTGCATATTTTTATAGCTTATCTCAAGAATTTTTCAAAATACTAATAAAGTATTTTTTTATTAAGTATTTTTGAGTAATAAAACTTGAAAATTACAGTACCGCCGGCATTAGCATTATCCAAGTTGTACCACGCGGAGGTTGCTTAGTCGAATTTACATCTCTTTCGTGCGTGCGTGCATGTGTGTGGTATGATGATACTCACAAGGGGACTGTTTAAATGCGTCGCGTTAGATTTGGCTAATCTATATATATATATATATATATATATATATATATATATATATATATATATATATATATATATGTCATAGTAATCCCTTTCCTGTAAACACAACTCGTATAACTGTTGTCAATAAGCACTAGTTTACAAGAAATTGGAGTTGAAAGTTTTTCGTGCGTGTAGACTCTACACGCGCGTTTCTACTTACGCGGTACTCTACATTATAGAGTACCGCGTAAGTAGAAACGAGATTCAAGTAGCCAGCGTGGCGCAGCGAGTAGGCAACGCTTGACGTCTTACGTTGGATTCCATCTTGCTCTCTTCCTTTCTTTCTTTTTTAATTTTTTTGAAATATGAAATAAAATAAATTATTAATATATGAATTAGCCAACTATCATTTCAGTATTATTATTATTTGCATTTTTTAAACAGAATTGTACGAAAAGTAATGAAATATGCCTATCGAATAAATAAATTATTCTTTTAAAGTTCGGAAGAGATTTTATTTCAACATGACGTTACTAGTCAACATCATGTTATTTTGGAATGCTTGTCTGATAGAGTTTTAAGATTTGTGTTCTGTGGGAACGGCCTAACAGTATCGTTTTCGCTATATACGGAAAGTTCTTCTCCATCACTCCTCTACTATACAATGAGCATGAAAGAAACAGGTCCGCAAGTAACAAAAATACCACTGTTAGGCCGTTCCCATAGCTCGGGAAAAAATATTATATATAATTATATATAAATATATATGATTATATATGATTATATAGGGTGTTTCTTAATCTCTGCCTACGAAGTACATAGCATTATTCCTTATGAAAAATTGAATCGAAAAGTTCTGAACCAATTTTGTCTTTGATGCTTAACGAAGCAGATATTCTTCAATAAATTCCAGCAAATCCGCGCCGTCCTT